GTTACGGGGGTTCCCACCCCCCTCTTCCCCCGCGCCCCCAGACGACAAAGATTCCGATTCTGGGGGGGGGGTGGACAGGGATAAGGTGACACCTTGGGCCCCTTCCGCGGAGGGGTCCGGGAAGCTTGAAACCCCCGGGGGGGCCAGCGGGAGAACCCCCAGCGAGACCCCCTTCCCCCCATACAGGGGCAGCGGTTTTTTCTTTGGGTACATAGATAGAGGAGGGGGCAGAGCCAATGTTGAAAAAAATACAAAAGGTGCGGGGCAGGGGGGGGGGGGGGGGGTGATGAGTTAGAGGCCTGATTTCGAAACTACTATATGAGAAGGAACGTATTTTTGGGGGGAGCCACCACGTGTAGCGGGTCAAAGGCTTGCATGTCGATGCGATGCTGGGTGAGATTCAGCAGGTACGGAACACGGAGTTCCCTCAACCGCGTCCTCCCCAGTTCAGCAACTCCATCCGTTCCTCGGTTATTGGAAAATACGTATGAGGCCCTCCATTCCACCAGCGGCTGCACTTGTCTCGTCTTTGACTCCGTCGCGTGGGCATGAATTGCTCGTAGTCGCACCCGCTGCTCAGCAAACTTCATCCCTCAGGCTTCGGAAGGTACATGCCCGTGGGGCGTTCCATTCCACCAGCGCCTGGCTGAACCCGTTGCGGTATGTACGTCCTTCGCGGAATTCCAACACCGACCGATTGTATGTATCCAGCTGAAAGTCGTGGGCGCGCCGGTCATCTCTTCCTCCAACGTGGCGGGGGGAAACACTACCTACCGCCGCCGCCGCCGCCGCAGCTCCAGCCGCGAGCGCGCGCACCACGGCCGTTCCTCCCGCCGCCGCCGCCGCCACAGCGGGGAAAAACACCACCACAGCAGGTGCTGTCTCCTGTCCTCTAATTCCTGCACTTGTTTTCCCGCGGCAAAAAAATGCGAACACGATGTATCTCTGTTGCTTGTACATGAGCTCGCCGGCCTCGTCAGAGCCACAAAAGCAGCTATATTATCTCTCCTCCCGCGGATCCTTGACGCGCGCTGGGCCTTGTATGCATGCTTCTTGCACAGGAGCAGCCGTCCTCGTCCTGTGCCACCCCGCGACCTCACAGCAGGCGCGCACACCGCTGCGGCAACGACAAGGTTGGCCGCACAAAAGTCTAACTACGTCCCGAAACTTTTCCCTGCCGACGTCTGCAGGCATTTCACAGATGTATCGTGATCGTGTGGTGTCGGCGCTTGTTTTTCTTTATCACGCTCGCGGGCTCTTGTCGAGAGAGCGTGTTTTTTCGCAAAAGGAGTGACTCAGGTTCCACATTGTTCTATTACGAGCGAGAGACGTGGGCGTGGCAAGGAGAGTATCGCCCGGTCATGTGCATCATGCACATGTACATGGAAACCTCCGCAAAATCTATCGCGGTTGACAACGGGTATCGCCAGAACCTTTGAAAACCTATCTATCGTTGTTGACAATGGATTTCGAAACTAACATTCAAAATCTTTTGTTTTTGAAATGGATAAATGCTTCATACAACCTTTCAAAAATCTAGTGTCCCTGAAAGAGAGGTCGATGTATTTCTCTCGTAGTCCATTAGAAACAATTGTAGACCGTAAAATTCCTTTCATGATATGCTTGAACATCCACGTATCCCCCGAAGATGTCGTAGATCTCGTAGATCACTCGGCCGAGTAGCGCCCAACACACGCTGAGTGAAGGTACACCCGGCTGAGTCGCTTCCGGCCGGGGTGCATAACTACGTAAGTACGGAAACGTCTACCGTCCGTAGGTTGCATGATGTAAGATGTCACACCCCCTGGACCGATCTTCGAAGCTCGATACCATCTCAGCAGGAAGCAGTGACGGTGCCGAAGATGGTGGCGTTGGAACGGTCTCGTCGAGAGCTTCCCGACAACGTACACTTCAATTACCATCCTCTTCGTCGCGGAGCAATCGAGCTTTGAAAATCGGTCCAGGGGGTGTGCTATCTTATGCAACCTAGATGTACGGTGTTCGCTTCCGATCTTCGTAAAATGAACAGGAGAATTTTGTTGGTCTGAAGTACGCATACATCGTACATCCTGTAGTACCCCGTTCGAAAGGAGTGTGAATCTTCACAACAGCAGTAGAGTGAGGGGAGGGGCATCACCTGCTCGAGTTAAATGAGTCTGTTCAAAGAATTAAGTCTCGAGGCTACAATACAGCAGTCACAAAAGCACCCACAGCAGGGCACTACGGTTGTAGACTACCACAGCAGCAGTGCAGCATGCCACCAAGACATTTGGTACTTTTTACTTTGGATTGATACAAGTCATGGAGGATGGTCTACTGCTGTATAGACTATTTACATGTTTTAGTGTTGGTGCACGCGTACGGCCTGCCACAAAATGACATGCGAGGGCGCACGTGGGCACATCCCTTTCAAGTTGGCGTTTGCGATGGACGGCGGTGGGTCCCTCCACGCGCGGCAAATCAACTCTCGGATTTCTCCTCCTCCACACTACAATATACTGGCTCTGCCGCAATCTGCCGCTGTGTAGAAGTACCAGTACCACTGCTGCTGTGTGGCCAAAAAGGGTACATACAAGGGTTATCCCGTTACAACACTCATCACCGGAGAACCCTCAACGGAAGAGAGGCTGGGTAAAAATTCGATTGAGATGCAAGCCATGGAGCGTCCCGTCGAAATAACAAGCAAGGCCAGCCGTGCGCTGCGTGTGGTGCACACAACAACCCTCTACGTGTAGTCGATGGGTACACGGCAACGTGATGTCCCTTACTTGCGCCCCGAACGGCAGAAGAGAAAAAAATGGCATTCTTGTGTCTCTCTTCGGACATGCGGGACAGCGCACGGTGATTTCAGGTTCCCGAGCACGCGGTCGCACCGCCCCCCCCAACCATCGGTCGCGGCGGTACCTACAATACCTACATATGCATCGAATTCACGTGCGTAACTGCTGTTGCGTATTCTTGTGTACCAATATGCATACCTTGGCTTGAGATGGTCGCGCCAGCAATTTGCCTTCTCCCTGCGACTCCATGATGAAGGTAATGCAAGCCCCGCTCGAGAAACCCCGTTCCCCCGTTCTCCCTCTCTTTCTCTCTCCTTGGTTTTCCCTCGCCCTCCCTCCCTATCTCCGGCCTCAGAGTATCGGCAGGCAGGCGTTATACTCACCTTCCCGTGTGTGCCCTCTCGCGGTCGTCACAGGGGTTCACACCCTGGCGTCGGTGTTGACGTGTGTTGACGTGTGTTCACCGCTTTTTGTTGTGGCATACATACTGATGAAATAAAAAAAAAATGTTCGTCGATCTCCGATGAATCTACGTAGAGACCGTCTGCAAAGCGCTTTCGCTACCCCTCGCAGTCCTTGATTGTGGAGGCGAGAGCAAGTGCTACTGCGCGCCAGGGTCCAACGAAAATTCTCAATTGTGTATTGATGATGTACACCAGACTGCCGCCGTAGCACCCTTTCTTGATGGTGGGGGATTGATGATTGAAGCTATAATATGGCCGGGATTACTCTCTCACCTCGAAGCTGATTGGCTACATTGTTAGACAGACCGCATTTTGTGCACGCACGGCTACAATATGCGTATTATGTACCTCACGTCTAAATGTACCTGCGCCACACACATACACGCAGGGGGGAAAGAGAAGTTTGTGCGTGTGCGAGTGTTTCGTGGAGTAGCGTCGACCGGCTGATCACAACGAGAAGGCGTCAGCGTCAGCGGGAAGACTCAACTCGAGGTCCAAGGAAAGGGGGCCAAGGCCAAATTTGAATCGCAAGCAGACAGAGATGATCTGCATAGCACAAGGTGTGCGCGCGCCCAGAGTGCCACAACAAACCTCTCCTAACAGTACACTATCTTGCGAGAGGCACAGCAGTCGCCTACACCTCTAATGCAAGGGTGGAGGGCGGGGGGAGGGGGGAGGGACAAATGCATAGCCCACACGGGTAGCGGCTCAATACAAATATGCAACAAAATACATCCATCCCTCCAAACTAAACAAGGGCCCGGAGTTGCATGTGTATGTAGTTCACCGCACCACCACCGAAGAAGCGCGAAACTCGTACAGGTGTATCGACAGCCAACCCGCAGCTTTTGCGCTGGCCTTCCAAAGAGGATATCCATGTTTGGTCGCATCTCTCTCTCTCTCTCTTTGCTCCCTCGCCCCCCCCCCTCCCTACACGTTCCCGGCCACAACATTCTGCCGGGCTTCGTCCTGACATCTTTCACTTAGTAGAAGCAGGCGTCTCCAGTATAAAGGGGTGTGAAGCTCCGTGGTATCTCCCGCGATGATGGCTGTATGCGTGCAAGTGAGCAAGCAGACTTAAGAGCGAGAGCACAGAGCGCGGCCAAATCCTGCTTTTCTTCCACCCGGCCTTCGGGCCTTCGCGCGTCTGTCCTCCACGATTTACGGAACCCCTGTCGCTACATCCACCATTTCAGTTTGTTTCCTGAGCGCCTTAGTTTGTTTTGTGAGAAGCAATAGACCTGGCGTCACACCCACGTGCGCAAAAACGCCAACATACGCTACAAACCGCCCAAGAGCTTCCGAAGCAAACTTTTGTGAGAAAGAAATTCCTATTTTTTCGCCCGAATGCGTGTCCTCGCATGCGACAGCAACAGCATAGACTGCTGTTACCCGCCGGCGTCGAAGCAGGAACACCATCCCTGCCGATTACTTTGGCCACGCCACCGCCGTGCACATACCCACCCGTTACGAGAGGCAACGGAAAGACTGCGACGACAACAACAGCAACGGCGTGCTCGTGCCCACCATTTCCTCGCTCGCTACAGCGATACGCGCCAACCCTGGCGAACTGGCAGAGAGCGAGCCCCACCAAACACCGCATAGAAACCACGCGGAGGGTAATACTTGCCACAACCCTCCCTTGCCGAAATACCACGCTTTTCGCGCGCATGGAAATCCCTGCGCTGAACCGCCTGCTTAATTCTAGAACCCGGGATTTTCTTGGACCGGAACGCCATCTCTCCGGTGCGTTCAGCGGCGGCGGTCGCGGCTCCTACTGCGCCTGCGCCTGGGAGGATGAAGTTCGGGGGTCGACGGGTGGGTGTGTCCCGGGGTCATCGATGGTAGTTGGTTGCGAACGATCTGAATTCCATCGACGGCATATCATGATGGTTGCAAACGATCGGTCTTACAGGTGTAACCAAAACTTTAATTTGGACAACAACCAGGACTTTTTGCGACAAAGAGAAAGCCATGCGCAATGTGTTTGCCCGTGGGGTCTGAAGCTTCTTGTACACATGCGCGATATCTCTGCTCACCGGCTGCTGTCAACCTGGAAATCAGTCAACACTGCTGCAAGCCCGAGGTACGTCTTCGCCGCGTGGGCAACTACAATACCAATTTCTATGATCATATTTACGTTCTGGTTCCCACGCTTTGTTGAGTTGTTGTTGTTATTGCTATCGTTGTGGCAGTGGTTGATGTTAAGATTGTTGGTGCTGCTGCTGCTGCTGCTGCTGCTGCTGCTGTCGTCTCCACGTACGAGACCATTCCGAACTCTCCCCAGTTTCCTCTCCTCCATGCCAGCCGCAACGTCCCACAAACGGCGAGAAAACCACGTTTCGTCGTATAGGCCATGTACTCGAAATAATTATTTCGTGCGCGAGAAAACGAGGACGATAGAGACGCACCAACGAGCGGCACAACTCTCACACACACCAACTAGTAGGTGTTAACAAACCCACAACGACAACAACATACAGTAAAATTCTTGTCCTGATCGTATAAATCGAGTATTTACGTCTGTTAAGCGGGAACGTATTTTTTCACAACACCTCACAAAGACAACAAGGAAGACAACCAGCAATAACAGCAGACAGCCGTACCGTCCTCGGCGTATGTATCCGTACCTGTCCCTGCTTCCATCCCGGCTCCGGCTCCGGTCCCTGCTGTCCCCCCGTCTGCAGATGCAGCACCACCACAAAATAACAACCAAGGGCGGGGGCGGGGGGGGGGGGAGCAATGGAGAAAACAATAAAACGGTTGAGGGAGCCAAAATCAGCTAATGGATAGGGCGCTCGGGCAGAAACGTTTCAACCACGAGCAAAGCGGCACAGCCCGGATCGGCAGAAGCAGTTCTGCACCTTGTTTTCCGGTGAAACAGCGTGCAGGGGGCTCCGTGGATGCCTGTAACTTCAAAACTTGAGAGGCAGGTATTTGGTGGTATCTAGAGAGCCTATAAAATACTGCTTGAACTTGAGACATAAACACATCAACAAAACATTAGTAAAAGAGAGACAACAGAGAGGTTCGAGCGTGTCGGGGTTCACAGCGTCGCGGAGCGAGATGCAGCAAGAGAAAAGGGACACTACAACGCCGTTTCATGGGAAACCGGCCGTGGGGACGAGACTGTGCACGTGCTGCGCTCGCGTGGATCGAGAGGCAGCTTGGCAGCACGAAGAAAAAGCAACCGCGGGGAGACTTACAATAGCAACAACACCGAGCAGGCCGCCGAAATAATCTCTCAAGAGGAGGTCAGCACGTTCCAAGGACATGCCCGACAAAATCAAGAGGTTTGTGCGTGTACCAAAAAGCGCACGTGCATATGTGTCGTCATGACAACTTTTATTTTCGTGTTGTTGGACTAAAGGTATTGGCGGGGAATATTCGAAAGCAGCGAAGATAACTCAGTTCCTACGAGACACAGTGGAAGAGAAGCAACGGTACACAAGAGTGTTTCGCACGTTTACATCCATGTGGCAGGCGCCGGGCCCTCAAAAGTAAATCGCGCCGCGCAACATCATATTGATAGGAGAGTACTCGCGTGCTAAAACAGGCGTATTCCCATCGGAAAACACGCCAGCATGGCCTCTGGGGTGTTCACAATAGGAGTCCCCCTCCCGCACGACAGTCTTGTTTGGTCAAGCGCATTAGCGTCGTCGATGCACACCAACGCAAGCAACATAACTCACACACAAACACGAGCACACAGGCACGAGTAGATACGGCAGGAAGGAGAGGAGAAAGGCCTGGTGGCGGTGAATCGTGTTCTCTGCATGCATGCCAGGGTTCGGAAGGCCGAGGCTGGAACCATCGGTTCGTTCTCCTCCGCGCCCCCCCCGCCATATCGGTAAGACCTGGCGGACTAGAAGGTGTTGTTTCGGTTACTTTCCCGCCAACGCTGCCTGCTCCTGTCGTTTAATCTCTCAGCGCCGTCGCTGGTAGCGCAACACACACACACCATGGCTTTGCATTTTCTGTTTTCAGCCGCACTGAGACTGACGTCTGTTTCATTGGTTATCCGTTAAGCACGGTCGATGTTACCAATAAAAAAAACACACACACACACTTCGTCTTTTCATTGTTCAGACGGTTGGCGTGGTCGACGCCAATAAACACACACACACACACACACACAGGCTGCCCCCTCACGGGGTCCCAGTCCATGGCAGATAGCAGTGTTTTGTGTTTTCAACCGCACTAAGACTGACGTCTTTTCATTGGTCAGCTGGTTAGCGCTGTCGATGCTAATAATAAAAGACACACACACACACACACAGAAGATGTCGAGGATTGACTCTGATGCCCTCGACGCCATAAACCACTGCTGTCGGATCTCGGGAAGGATGCGCATACGACTACCAACTTCCGACATACCTGCCACGCTCCCGGCTGTCGGACCTCTTGCCGTCCCCCCCGTCCCCGTCCTTGCCCGCGGGCCGGCTCTTTTCCCGCTCCTCCCTCTCCCGGTCCCGGCGGGCCCTCTCCTCCTGCCGCTCCTTCTCGCGCTTAGCCTCCTTCTCGGCCTCCTTGGCCTCCGCCGCCAGGCGCTCGCGCTCGCGCCACTCGGCCTCATGGCCCTTCTTCGGGCGCTCCTTGCGGGAGTCTCCGAGCCCGCCGCCGAAACGACGTGGCTATTAATAAAAAAAATGAACCGCAGAGGGGGGGGGGGGGGGGGGGGGGGGGGGTCC